CCAATACAGCCAATTGCCAAGGGTTGGGGTAAAAGTCAAGCCTCAAAATTAGCTTTCTTCTCGACAAAAGCTTCAAAGGAAAGACCGCATCATTCATTAATACAATGCTAAACAAATAAACGAAAATTAGCTTAACATTATTTTGTAACAAGTTGCCGTTCATCGGTAGCGGCGGCAATGAAATGCTTTAAATCCTTTAAAGGTTTACTTGGAGGACCTGCTTCTCACATATCAAAGAGAATTCTTTTCTTTTCTTTCCTGCCTTAATGCAGCAACAACCAACTAATAGATGCTTGACGTTCTTAGAGATCTTTAGCTTTTAAAAATGATAGTATATTTTAAGGGATTATTGCCGGCCAGCAACCAGAGTACTTTTAATGAAAACATAATGAAAATACAAAAAACTTGAAAAAACTTGAAAACATCGAATAAATCGCTCAGCGTGTAACGCAAAGCATGTGATTCCTTCAAATTTAAAACAATTAACAAACTTTGTAAATTTGCACGAAAAAACAATGGGAGGACGAGTTAAAGACGAGTGTTGTTATAAAGTTTAACTCATAGAATTGAAAGATCGCTGTATGAAAATATTCATTAGTAACATGAAAGTACATGACACACCTTCTGCCAAGTTCCAGTGCATTCTACTTTATATAACAATAAGGATTCTTATATCGATCACCGAAGAATGACGGGTGCACTCGTATTGTCAACACGTTCGCAATATCAAGAAGGAAGCTCCAGAGACTCCACAACGCATATATATATTCTTGATCAGCATCAAATTTTGAATCGATTTAAGCATGTCCGTCTGTACGTCTGTGCCGCAAAAGTCAAACTGTCAATTTCAAATTGGGCAGAAGCACTGCATGTTCTTGCACGCAAGATTGGCATTCAAAATGGACGACCGCTCTACATTGCTAGGTAACTCACTTAGAACACCTCTGCTTCTCAAAAGTAGTAAGGAGTTGTTTTTTCTATGGATGACAATCCCTACCCGATATTAGAGTGTATCAAAATTTAATTTTCTTTCCAATACCGTACCGATAACGCATATAAATTCTTGGCCAATTTCAAATTCGGATTTCGCATCTAAGCATATCCGTCCGTTCGTTTGTCTGCCTGTAATTGTTTATCCGCGCAACTATGTCATCTTCAATCATCCTACATAATTGATTGCGTCGATTACACTCAAATATCAAACGATCATTGTTTTCGTTCGCATCTTAATTAATCAATCAATTAATTAATCAATTTTATTAAAAAAAGAAAAAGGAAAGCAAAGTATAAAAAGAGAATACAATCACTTCCGTTAGAATAATGAGAAAAGAAAAAAGGTTCACTTATTTAATTCTTACATTGAATTGAGCGACATATGATTGTAACAAAAAGTGTTTGTTTTTTTTTTATTTTTGCCTATAACAAACGGCTTTGCACCGTTACTGTAACTCTTCCTTGACTTGTTCGTTTCAACTTCTCAAAGAGAGCATTGCGCGTGGGAAAAAAAAATCGTACATCTCTCTTAAAGCCCTAGGATTGCTCTAGTAATTGCTCGCTTATTGAATACCGGCTGATTATCTTATCTAAAAGTTAAATGTTTTAATAAAATTATTTTAAAATGAGCCAATATAATATTTTTATTTTATTTTCGAACGGCAAAGTACACGTAAACAATAATTAATTTATAAAATGTTATTGTAATCAAGTGTTTGTGAACAACAAATAACAAATAACAAACAACAAAGAACTAACATTAAGATCTACTGAAGAGCTCTTCAACAACCTATGCATTAATATGTATTGCACGTCGCTGCAACATGTTGCATGACAAACCCTTTCATGAATGGCAATGGTGTGCTTTTTGGCGGTTTAAAAATGTTACTGCGCTACACAATAAATTCTTTTGAACATTTCTCATATAAAAATCATTAAATATTTGAGATAAGCTAACACGCGACATTTAAAACACTTTGTGAAGCTTACCATACGAAGCTACTTAAGCGTGCTTATGTTTGTATAGAAAATCTTTCCCTCACTCTTTCTATTCATTAATTCATATTCATTTGCTTGTGTGTGCATATGTAGTAAGAAAGAAAAGGGTTAGCTGGATGGCTGGATGACTGGATGGCTGGATGGCTGTGTGGCTGGTTGGGTTGGGCTGTTTGCTGTTTGCTGTTGCTCAAGCATAATTCACATAACGAGTGTGGCGTCAAAGACTTTTTGACTTTTGGCGCTTTGTTCATAGATGCACGTACAAATAAACAAACGTGCAAGATATGCGTGCCTGCAACCACTCTTTGGTGGTTTTGTTTATTTGTGTAACATTGGCAACATTTTTCCTATCCTTTCACTCGTACTCTCTCTCTCTCTCTCTCTCTCTCTCTCTCTCTCTCTCTCTC